CAATATGGCTTAATAGAAATACAAATATTCTGCACTCTTGATTTTTACTATCCTTTTTTTTTCTAATTTCTCTTTTCTTCTTCTCATTCTTCTTAATATTAGTTCTTGTTAGTTTTTACTGTTCTTTTTTTAAAAAAATTAATAAAGTTATTTAAAAAAATAATTTCTGTACTGTCACAATGGGCAAGCACATTCTCCAATCAGAAAGCTGCCCCTATCTCACAGCTAGGTGTTATGTTATTCTTTTTTATGCATCAGTACATGCTTTCAGCATGTTTTATCATTTCATCTCTTTTACTTTTTTTAGGTAAGTTCTGTTCCAATAATCTGCTTCTAGCTATACTACCTAAACATTTATAAATAAAAATAGAAGAATAGAAGAAAGACTTAAAGCCAATCTTCAAAAATAAGATACTGCATGCAACAGAACTTCCTTTAAAATTTAAATAGGATTAACTGTGATATGAACATGACATTTATTTCTCTCATTTCATATTAGTGACATCTGGAAAGGGAGTATTTAAACATCAGCATGCCTGAAAGGTAAGCTCCACTTTTGATTCTGAATGTTAAATAATAGAAAATATTTGGGACAAATTCAAGCCGCTTAAACTAATGTCATCTTTACTACTAAATCTATAGCTATATCTCCTAAATGTATGACACTAATTAACATAATATTTTGAAAAACTCTCTTGCAACTCATTTCCTCAAGGTATCAAGATGGCATTCCTGCCCTCTTAATCTGCTTTATCCCCCCTTAAACTGATTCAATCAAAGGTAGTTTTGTCATTAAATGTCAAAAAGGCACAGATTATCCCATAATTTAATTAGTACCACACTTGCTGCAGAATAAGGCAGTGATACATACTCCCTTACAACAAGAATAATTTTTAAACAGTTTTTACCTTAATACTTTTCCTACTGCTTGTAGAACCATTTTGCAGTTTAATCCAGTTTTGGGAGATTGAGAAAGTACAGGTCTTTCACTGCTGTGGTTACAATGATCCCCAACCATGTTCAAAAGAGAGAGAAAGAAGAGTGGGGAGATTGGGGAGGGGGGTGAAAGAGAGAGAAAGAGAACTGGAAGCTGCCAGTACCGATCTCGGTAGCTCACCCTCTCTTTCCTTTCCTTCTCAAAAAACTAGTCCAACTACATTCATGGAGTTCATAGCTTACTTCACTCTAACCCTTCCTCCTTCCTTTCTTCAGCCAATAAGAAAGCAGCAATGGAAACAGGAAAAAAAAAACCCTCAGCTAGAAAAGACAAACAGCTGCTCCTTTTTACAAACTCTTCAGTAAAAGCCAAGCCTGCGAAGTCAATGCCAATAAGGAAGCATCTGAATCGGTTTTTTCAGGCTGGCGCCGGCTGTAAAACAACACAAGAGAAGTAGTGTGGGGGATAAGCAAGCTTCTTTCAAGCACCCAGTTTGTACTACAGTGTTAAAGGGATGGTGCATGGATTAGAGGAAAGGAGGGAACTTTTAATTTGAAGCATATTATAGAACATAGCTGAACAAACAAGTGAAAATATTTAATGATCAGAAGCAGTTTTCGAAGTCCCTGCCTCTCAAAAAAAAAATAAAATAAAATACACTTTACCAATTCGTCTTTCATAACTAAGAAGCTCAATCTGATTTTTAGTTTAGTAACTAATTGATTAACCAATACATCACTTTTCAGAATTGTGTTACTTCACATACACATACTGCTTATTTTGAAACTATACTAGCCTAGATGTTACATGCCAAGTGTTCTGGCACTAGAAAAGTTCTGTTAAGATTTGACTGATGTATAGTCAACAAGTAAGGCATTCACCCTTTCTTAAATCACTAATGCCTACCAACAATGACACCCTGTAAACACTTGAGCAACTGCAGTAAAGAAAATACAGATCAAACATCACATCTCCTCCTCAAATGCAAAGGCTTGCATTTGTACTAACAGTGAATGGCTAATTTAACACTGGAATATATTTTATAAGTATGCTGTATCAGTATTTCTAATTCATTACCAACAGTCTCAAATTTAGTGAGAGTTTAACTATTCAACAGATCTCTCAATTTCAACATATGATTAGCTAACACCAACCTCGTTCTTATCCTTATAGTTATGAAACAGGCAAAAGGGGGAGAAAACGAGTAAATAACAGTGAAGATTCAACAAAACTAGGAACACACAGTAGGAAAATTAGCTATTTATAAAGGTAGCCAATAGTAGTGCTCTGGTCTTGTTGTATGCATGTTTCTTGTGGTTATTTTAAGATGTGTTTTCATTGTTTTGTTTTTATTGTATGTTGCCCAGAGCCATATTCATGAGATGGGTGGGTATATAAATTTGATAAATAAAGTAAAAATAAAATAAATAAATAAAATTAAGTCTAGTTCTTCAGAAGAGGGGAAGTTGAAATAGTTTATAAAATCAGTTTACGAAGTGGTCAAACAGATTTTTTTCCAGGTATAAATCACCTTCCATTAGAATGCAGACATGTTTTCTGTCATGTACTTTAAAATAAAGTGAAGAAGACAGCGCAACTTGTCTAATGATGTTACATACCAGCATACAATAGAGCAAATGACAGAACTCTTACTTTCCATTCCTAATCTCGTGGTCATATGGTCTCATGAGAATCAATTAACATACTGCCAATAAAGATTTTATGTACTGTAACTTTAATCCTGAAACACTTGGCTTCAGTGCTTTTAAGGCAACTTGCTACACTTAAGCCAGTAACAGCAAATGCTCTTCACATCTAATGTAGATGAACAATAAAATAACCAGTTCTGAGAACTGAACTATTTTGTAGAGACTTTCTATCACTGAAGACTTTTTAAAAAACCATTTGAGTGAGAGATCATCTCCAAAATGTAGGCTTCATATCATATGACTGCCAGTGGAAATATTTATTTGGAGAAAGGTGGGTATAAATCAAATGAACGAAGTAATCAGGTTCAATCCCTGTCTGTTAACAGGAAACTTTATCTGAAATGTATATTATATACTCTTTTTTTTTAATGCTATTTGAACTATACCTCCTGAATTTTCCTCACAGCAATAAACCCTATATTTGTTATCGTGCATTCCTTTTGACTTACATACTTCTTTATTCACTCTATTACTGGAACAATTACTAATAGTGCGTGAACATTCTCAAGTACATTGTTAATGTTCAGTCTGATAAACTGTAAACATGGGTACAAGCATTTTACCTCAGTACTAGGAAATCCTCTGCTTAACAATTTATTATGTAGATACATCTTGTTATGCACGTAAGAAGAAAAGCTTTCCAACAAGCTTAGAGGTTATTATCATATGACAAAACTGATTACTATACTAAGCAACGAGAAGCTCTGTTGAAATTCCTAAACATAAAAAATTCTTTGTATTAACTAGAAAAATTAATAAACATTTTTGAGGATTTATAAAATGACAATGATCAACTGTTGTTTAAGTGGCTGTTTCTTTGCCTCTTTCTGGAGCAGTCATAAAAAATACAAGCACAGAGAAATATTGATATCTTGTGGCCTCAGAAGAAAAGGAGGTTTTTTCTCCTATTATACTGTGTCAACAATGAAAGAAGTTTAATGTCCATATTACTGTTATACTGTTATATAAGGTAACATTATTAAGAAACAAAGTTTGCACAGCTCTAGCTGAAAGGCCATGTAACCTCAATTGCAACCTATGTATTTATACCGTGTCCCTGCCCAACTTGAATGACTTTACCTCACTACTTGTGCTTCTGATACTGTCTGAAAATATAAGCTAAATATACTAGAATGTGTTTTAAAACTACTGAAAAAAGCATGTCCACTTAAACTTCTAGGAGGGGCTTTCAAGGAAGGAAGGAAGAATTAATTGCAGGCTTTTATATGAGATTACTGGGAGAGTTTTATCGGTGCTGTACTATGCTACGGGAAGGATGAAGCAAGAACAATTTTTACAACTTTTTCTTGTTGAGAATTAACTCTCAATGAGCCACTTATTAAGGATGATTTGTCTTCCTACAAAGAAGATTTTCATAGGTAGTTTTGTAGATGCTTTTATTTTCTTGATTTCTAATTTTACTTAATTCCTTAATGCTAATTTTACTTGTCATTTTACTTATTTTATGTGGACTTTCCTACAAGATTCCGCCTACTTACTGCTTCTTCATTTTTCTGTCCCTAGCATTCTGAAGTACAGTGGTAGCTACAAATTCTTTCTTGTCATCATTGTTGGTTTATAATCTTTGTTCTGTATATGCATAAGATAGCATTCTATAGGAATGCTGCAAAGTATTTTGCAACACAAACCATAGAATATTTTTTTCCACAGGATCCTAACTTTTGCTAGGATCTTGTGGAATATTCTACCTAGAATATTTGACACATTATTTTTAGCACAAGTTTAATTCTAGATTGCATTTTAAAGCATTTTTCAAATTAACTCTGAAGTTAAAAATGCATTACCCTGCCAATGTAACCCAACTAACATTAAAATATGAAATGCTTTTTTCTCCATAAGTTAACGTTTGGGTAAATGATAGAATCCTTAAGAATTTGGCTAAGAGGATTCTAGATTTAATTAATCCAGCACCTACTCAGTATAAAATGGAGTTTTCACTTGACCAGTCATGTGTTTCTAACAACAAAGTCATACAGAAAATAGCACTACATCAGGGTGGAAGTTTTATGGCATTTTTAACTACAGTATTGTCTTCTGTGAAAAGCTGATAATATTGGATGATTGAAGTTTTACTACTGAAATAGCTGCCAACCCTTACCTGTTATTTCCCTTTCAAATAATACAGATTTTAAATGAATCAAGCTAATATTCAGCAATATATGCACACAGTTGTCTTTAAAACTGAGTACTTCTATTTCCGTGATGTAAATCTTAGTTTAAAATACACACAAATATATGTGTTTTTGAGAGAAATGCAATCAATTTAAATATTTTATACAGTATTTTTAAACCTTCAGAAAGATTAACAAAACAGAACAAATTAATCATACAATACAGAAACAGTGTCCACTAACAGACTAACATACTCCTATGCAAAATGAGCACAAATCTGGCAAACCATGGAAGTATGTACACAAACAACTAACTCTTCTCAGAACATATGCCAAACCCTCTCTTTAAAAAAGCAACATCAGAATCCTGTAGCACTGTGTGTTTTTTGTTGCATAAGGTTTCATGGATTGCTCCACTTCTTCAGATGCATGCACAACACTGTAGCAGTAACACTGGACCTAAAATCGTTGCCAGAATGTCACAGTAACATATTCATGGCCATCCTCCATGTGCTACTGTTGGTAAGCAGCTCTCTTAGATTAGTAGACTGATTGTAAACACCAATGGCCCATCCAACAAGACTGGCTAGAGATAAGAATCAGCTCAGAATCAGTAGCAGATTTTAGGCGGAAGCTATAGATGCATATTCACTGGATGCATTTGTTTTCTTCCTAGCATTTTTCTCACATGTGCAGGGTCTGCTTTTTCTGGATCAACTGAATGTTGATCCATTGGTTGCGACAGGAATTGACCGACTGGCTTGTCACCTGAGCCTGACGTCAAGGGCTGGGAGAGAGTGACTGGCCCAAAGTTACCCAGCCGGCTTTCATGCCAAAGGGGGGACTAGAACTCACAATCTCCTGCTTTCTAGCCTGGAGCCTTAACCACTAGACCAAACTGGTTCTCTAATTTTTAGGTGGAAGTTATAGATTTTAGGTGGAAGCTACAGATGACAAGCATATTCACTGGATGCATACTGTAGTCAAATAATTGAGATACATATATAAAACTCTGACTAGTCAAGACAAACGCGGCCATACATTAGAGTTTGGCTTTAGAAAATGGATTTTGTGTTAGTTGGAATCTAGAGTTATGCAGGTCTGTGTACCAATCAAAAGTTTCTG